CACTAAGGCTTGGGCCACGGCCTTGGGCTGGGCAAAGCACCTTGGCAAATGCAGGCAGTTTCTCGCCAAGGAGGTGGCAGGCCTCCAGGAGTGTGCAGCCGTATGTGATTTGACTCCCAACCAGCATTTCAAGTTACTGCGTGCGCTAGCCGAGGCCTCCAATTTCATGATCAAGGTCGGTGCGTGCAAAAAAGTGCTGGCCAGGCTCGACGATCGTTCTTCCAGTTTTTTTCAGTCGGGGTTTGCCGTCCTGGCCAGAGCGGATTTTGCTGAAGTCCTCACGCATGTGTATCTCACCGCCAAGGCCAAGATAGGGGCTGCCGAAGCCGCCGCGAGCTCTGCCTGGCTGGCCTGGGCCCGAGAAGCCTTTCAGCGAGGAGCTTCTCAGGCCCATAGGTTCAGCAAGGTGCGAGCGGTCCAAGAGGTCATTGCTGCTGGTTCCAAGTCCCAACCCTTCCAGCTTGCTGATCAGGAGATGCAGCCATGGGCTGACATCTGGCGGACCCACGGTTGCTCCAAGCTTCCGCTCCCCGATGGGGCCCACGCCTGGCCCCCTCTCCCTTGCATCACTGCCTCTGAGGTGGAGGATTGCATCCAGCAATTTAAGATCAGCACGGCAGCAGGCCCTTCGCGCATAGCGCCCAGGGCTCTGCTCCACCTCAGTCAAGGAGCCTACGAAGGCATAGCGTTTTTGCTCAACGGATGCGAGGCCCATCTAGCTTGGCCAAACGATCGTGTTTGGACGGAGATGGTGCGTTTGGCCAAGCCTGATGGGGGAGTCCGCCTGATAGCCCTCATCAATACCCTCTGCCGAGTATGGGGTAAGATTAGGAAGTCCGTCACTTGTAGCTGGCAGGAGTCGCATGGTTGTCTCGAGATCTGGGGCACCAGGAAGCGGCACAGCTCCACGGACAGCGCATTCGCGCATAACCTGTCCGCGGAGCTGGCGTCCCTGCTAGGCGAGATCTCAATTTCAGTTTTGCTGGATATGATCAAGTGTTTCGAGATGATTCACCCTGCCCAACTCATCAAAGAGGCAGAGGCAGTCAGCTTGCCGCCCCGCCTCGTTTGGATGCTCGTGGAATTGTACAGGCAACCACGGCGTCTGAAGGCACTCGGAAGTCTTTCCGAGTCCCTCGAGGCTTTCCAAGGCATCCTCGCTGGATGCAGCCATGCCACAGGCATGCTGTACGTGCTGACTTTTCGGGTGCTCAAGCGCCTAAACCAGATTGCCCCGTGCGTGACTCCGCGAGCCTTAGTAGATGACGTGTCACTGCAGTTGGTCGCCAAGACGCCTGACACCTTGCCGCAGCTTGAGAAGGCTGTACGGATATTCAGGTGCGATGCCCAGCTACTCGGACTGAACACCCAGCCCAAGAAGTCTGGTATCGTGGCGGCCTCGGGAAGGGCCAAGAGGTTATTTCGGCTTGGAGCTGCGCAGCTCAAACTTCAATTTCGGCCATGGATGCGAAACCTGGGGCATGAGTTGGCTGGTGGCAAAGTGTTGAGGCTCCAGGAGAAGGCACGCCTCAAGTCCCTGCAGCAGCGCCGACGCAAGTATATGGCGCTGCGCAGCGCCGTCGGGCGCAAGGCCTCGCTCTTGTTCAGAACAGGAGCGTTACCGGCCGCAGGGCATGGTGGCGGCGTGTCTGGAGTTTCTGACGTGTCTCTTCGGTATTTCAGACAATTGGCTTCTACCCTCGCAGGAGGTAAAAAGCATGGTGGGGTCACAGCGTATCTCCTCGCTCACCGCGACCCCTTCTACGATCCCATCTTCGATTGCACGCTCACCATATGTCTCCGCTACGCGGCCTGGATTTGGGACAGAAGAGTGTGTCTTGGGAGGGCCCAGAGGGCCTGGGCCAAACTACGTTGCTACTTCGACGACAACCCGACCTGGCAGATCGCGAAGGGGCCCATGTCGGCCTGCTGGCTCTCCCTGCATCGTATCGGATGGGCCATGACCAGCGCCCACACTTTCCTCACGGACACTAACTACACGATTAACTTAGTCACGACTTGCCCGTACGACGTCAAGCTGCATATGATCGAAGGGATTCAGAGGTGGCAACATCGTCGGTTGCTCCATCACATGCCTACGTCCCAGGGCACCGAGCAGGTTTGGCACAGGGCGTTGAGAGGAGGTCTTCAAGCGATTCGGTGTCCGCGACAGCTTGGTGCTCTCTCGGCCGTCATGGCCGATGCTATTCCCCTGCCCAGTGTGCGTGCCTCCCAGGGATACCGCATAGGCCCCGAATGTCGTGTGTGTCAGGCTCCCTTGGGCTCCTACGGGCACATCTGGTACGAATGTGAGGGCTTGGTGATGGACGGAGTCGACGCGCTTGGCGAGCAGGTCCCCGACGAGATTCTGAGCCATAGGAATGCCTTAATTAACTCTTGTCTTGATATTTTGGGGAACCCGCAAGCCGAGACCACCTACCTCACGTATGGGATCCCCTCGCTCTCTGTGGCCTTGGAGCCCCCCGAGGCCCACCCGCAGGTCCTCCACTGGGGCAACGTTTCAGGCCCGTGGGGGCCAACTTGTTTCGTCGACGGGAGCTGCCTCCAGTCTAGTCTCCCTGAGGTTGCTCGGGCTGGCTGGGCTGCGGTTCAATTAAGCTCTGATTTAATTCCAGTTCGTGCTGTCTTTGGCGCCTTGCCTGGCGTGCGCCAGACAATCGGACGTGCGGAGCGGTGGTCAATACGTCAAGCTCTGCACTATGCGCCTAGCGTGAAAAAGATTGTGTCTGACCTGCAGGCCAGCGTTCGTGAAGGCAACGCTTGGGACCCAGAGCAGGCTGCTGGGCTCGCCAAGCATGCTTCGATTTGGGCGGACATTTTCAGGAACCAGCAGCAAGACCCCCCCCAATTTGTTTGGTGCCCCGCCCACCTCTCGCTCGACGATGTTATTGATAAAGGCATATCTCTCGAGCACTGGGCGGGAAACCTATGGGCGGACTTTTTCGCGAAGCTCGGCTCGGAGTCCCACAGTTACGCGGATGGATTCTGTAAGGCCTTGGCGGGGGAGTATAAATATCATAAGTCCACGCTTAAGTTCCTGGCGTGGGCCGCTCAGAGGATGTTGCAGTCCCAAGCGTGGTCTGGTGATCCTGACGTGCCCCTTGTTTCCTCCTCTCCCCCCCTTCCCCCCAAGCTCACGATCACCAGCCACGAGATCTGGCACAGCCAGAAGAGTGCTGTTTGGAGGTGCCGTGTGCGTGGCAGGTTCGCTCGCAGCCTCAGCTCTCTCAAGGCAATGCTCACACAACGTGCCACGCGTGATTGCATTGCAAGTCCTGTGCAGCTCCTGGCTGCCTCGGAGTGGTGGAAGGCGCACGCCTCCGACCAGGGGTTTTCCCTGATGCGATCTGAGGCCGTGCAGGTAGCTTTGGATTTCTCCCACAGGGAGGCTGAGAGGTGCCGCCAGACCGAGGGGCCCGACAGTGCTGGCGTGTTGGGCCCGTGTTCCCCTGTGCCCCCCTCGGGGCCCGTTGGGCCCGACCGTTTCCCCCAGTTTTCGGCCCTCGGTCACGACGTTTTTAAAAACTGTGATCACTTTTGCTGCCGCAAGTGCGGTGGGCATGGCACTCTCGGCAATTTCGTTAAGTTAGCCTCCAGGTGCGTGGGTTTTTCGACCGTTGCCTCCACGAAGGCTAATCAGCGCATGGTTATAAGGAGGATAGAGGCCGGCCTGCATCCGAAGTCTGGAGAGTGGCTCTCTGGACTTTCTTGTTCCACGGATGAGGACAGGGCCGCCTCATGCATGCAGGGTGGACGCGAGGATAATCGTGCTGCCTCCCCTGCCGCCTCCTGCCCCGTCGAGGGCCCTCCCTCCTCTCGCCTGTCCGTTGTCCCTGGGGCCGAAGGCGTGAGGGGTGAAGGTACGTGCGTTGTGCCCTCGAACGATGTCCAGAGGCCGTCCCACGGTAGGACCGCCCCTCGGCTCTTCTCACCTCGTGTGATCCCCTCCAGAGGGGAAGACGACAGTTCTGACTGATTTTTTGGCCCCGCCCCTCGTCGTGTCGTCGCCCGCGCCCGCCGCCCGCATACGCCCACTTCTGCAACGGCGTGACGGAGCGCGGCGTGCAGGCGCCTCGGCCCTCGGGGCTAGGCGGGGCCCACCTCTCCTCCTCCTGTCGGCCTTCGGCTAGGCGGGGGACCTCTGAACCTGGACCCCCCAGTCGAGCTTCGGCTCTTCTGGGGGGCGCAACGGCCGTGTCCTCCTCCTCCTCCTCCTCCTCCTCTTCCTCCCCCCGCCTCCTATGCCTGCTCCACCACGCCTCTCTCCTCTCCCTCTGTCCCTCTTCTTTCTTTTCTTATACATTATCGCTCCTCCTAGTCCTCCTTCCCATCTCATCCCTCTTCCACTCTCGTCCTCCCTCCTGCTCCTGCCTCCCTCTTTGCTCCCTCCTACCTCCTCCGACGGGGAAGGAAGGGGAGAAGAGGGAGAGACGAAGGAAGAGCAGGAACAGCAGCAAGTGGGGGGGATGGAGGGGAGGGGGAAGGGGGACGATGATGAATGAGGAGGAGGGGGAGGAAGAGGAGGAGGAAGAGGAGGAGGAGGAGGAGGAAGAGGAGGAGGAAGAGGAGGAGGAGGAGGAGGAGGAGGAAAAGAGACACGGAAGGTGGAGGGGGAGGTGGACGACGACCCCGAGGGCCCTTCCTGCCCGTGGGTGCTCTCCATCCCTTCCCCCTCGTCCTCCTCCTTTCTGCTCCCCTCCCTCCCCTTTCCTTACCAGCCTGGAACATATCCCTATCCCTATGTTTGACATCACCTCACCTCGATGCCGATCTTAAGGATTCCCTCAGTTTTTGAGGGCCTATCCCTAAGATTGTCCTCGCTTTTTGCTCGCCCATCTTAGGGATAGGGATACGTTCGAGGCTGGTTATTTCCCCCTCCCTCCCCCACACCATTCCGTTCCGTTCCGCTCCACCCTCCACCCTCCGCGCCCCTCTCCCCCTCTCCTCCTCGCGAGTCCCTCCGAGAGCTCGCACGGGAGGCCTCGCAGCAGTCGGAGGTCCAGGACCGCGCGCTCACGAAGCTGAGCTACGTGCACAACTGCCGCGAGCTCCTCGGGGAGCTCCGCTACAGCCTGGAGCGCCGGAAGCTGGAGGCGGCGAGCGTCTGTGTGAGTCTCTTGGGCGTCGCATGCTGGGAGGTGCGATGAAGTGTGGGGGGAGAAACGTGAGCCTTTCGTGAGCCTGTTGGGCCCCATGGGGGTCCCACAGAGGGCCCCTCGAGGGCACAAGAGGTGCACCTTTCCTTCACGCAGCGCCCGAGTCTCTTTCCCCAGACCTCCAACGCGTTGACAAGAAAGACAGGCGTTCACAGTTCGCGGCCTCAGGGCGCCTCCGCCGGGCCACGAAAAATTCGGGCCGGACGAAAGGGGGGGGATAGGGAAAGGGAGGGTTACGAAATCTGCTGCATGCAGCTGGTTTCGGCCCCGCCGCCAGGGCCATTCCTCGATACATGGCCGCCTCCCGGCGCCGGGAGGCGCTGGGAAAATCAGCTACGTGAGCTGATTCTCACCCCCCCCCCTTGCTATCCCCCCCTTTCGCCCGACCCGAAACATGGCGGACATGCCCCTTCGAGGTCGGCGCGCCCTGCAGTGTCGATGCGGTGCCCCTCCACCTGCCGGGGCCAGGGCAGAGGTATGGTCTGACCCAGAGCGAGTCGGAAGTTTTCGGTGGTGGCCGACGTTGGAGGGGCGGCGCAGACAGGCACCTCGCACTCATCGCCCTGGCATCGCTCGGACGTGTGCATTTTTTCGTGGCGAGGACCATCGAGGAGCAGCCTTGACCATCGAGCCAAAAAGCACGTACGAAACCGAAAAATGCAAGGGGAATGGACGTCCGAGCGATGGCAAGTCGCCTCTCAAGCAAATAACAGGACTCAGCCACGGAAGACATGTTCGAGGTTCATGTCTACCAGGGTTGTAGGACGGCGTCGGGGCTCCAGGGGGACCCCGATTGGAGGAGAAAGAACAAGCAAACATCCCTGCAGCTGCCCTGAACTGTGCGGGACAGCTGCTGCCACTGCCTCTCGAAGGCCGTGTCGAGCGGGAGCCGCATTTCGGAGCGAATGTTCTGAGGGCGTCCCGAGCGGGAGCCTGGCCTCAACGAGTCACTTCCAAGACACCGATGGGATCCGCTCAGAGCCCTTATCCTTATCTGCTGCTTAGTCAAATCCTGTAAGTATCTCCATATCTGCGGAGGAGGCTCGAGGAGGAGGAGGAGGAGGAGGAGGAGGTGCAGGATCGAGGATCGAGAATCGCGGAGGATGCCAGAGGATCGATGACCAAGGAGGAAGATTCATCATCGCTTCGTCATTGGTTGCCGTGCTGGGATAATTGGTTCCAGGACTCTGCTGAGCAGCCGCTTCTCGTGTGCGGGCTGCTCGTACTTACAAATTGGGAGCATTGTTGCTGCGAGCCCGGGTGGACGATGGAATAGATCCCTCCGTTGGACGGTGCACAACGGCGCCATGGCAATTGGTAACATTGCATGGTCCCGACCACAATTTCGCATCAGGGGCGGAAAAAAAGGTTCAGGAGGCAAGGCGCGCTTTAAACACGCGGGTAGGACATGATGGTTTTGGAGCGCGATTGATTATATAATATTGCAGGGAGGAATGAGGAGGCAGGTGGAGTCGAGGCAACGTTCAATCATACAGCGCATTCTCGCATTCAATGTGGCGGCGAGAAGCTTGTGGATGGGGCGGCTTGGGGAGAGCTTGAGGCGGGGGGTGGGGGGGGAGAGATTTTCGAGGGGCGGAAGGGAGGGGGGCGTGGGGGGTGCGGGATGTCGGATATGTGCTACGGGTACATGTGCGAGAGGGACAGACGGAGGAGTGGCACGGGGCGTTCGCTCGGCTGTTCGGGGGGGGGGGACTGGATGGAGGCAGGTCATTTTCTTCGAGGCTGAGAGATCGGGACAGCGCCTGGCGACCACCAGCGATCGCAGCCGCCCAGGGCCTGTCGAGACGAGGCCAGCAGGACGGATCGCAGCGCGACTGCGCAAAGCCGCGAACCTGGCGGATCAGTATCGAAGACGCCTACGGCGAATTGTCGCCGCCCTCTGCTTTTTAGGCTACGCCCGTGTGGCCAAACGATTGGGCAACGTTTGGCCACGCCATTGGACCATGCGTTCCTCCAGCCGTGGGAGAAGCCTTTCGGGGAACACGTGGGGGAGGAGGAGGAAGAGGAAGAGGAAGAGGAGGAGGAAGAGGAGGAGAAAGGGAGGAGGAGGAGGAGGAGGAGGAGGAAGAGGAGGAGGAAGAGGAAGAGGAGGATAAGGAGGAGGAGGAGGAGGAGGAGGAGGAGGAAGAGGAGGAAAAGGAGGAGGAGCGGAAGGAAGAAGGACGAGGAGGAGAAGGAGGAGGAGGCCTCTTATGAGCTTCTGGGGGCATTCTTAGGGCGTCCTGGGAGCTTCCTGGGGGCCTCTTGGAGGCCTGTTGGGGGCTCACTGGGCCACTTGGGAGCTCTGGGGGGCTTCTCAGGAGCTTCTGTGGCCGTCTTACGGCGTTCTGGGCCCGCCCGACGCCCCTGGAATCCCTCTCGGGAGCTTCTTTGGGCCGTCTCGGGGCCCCCTTGGGGCGCTTCAGGGTCCACGACGGCCCCAGAGGCCCGCAGGGTCCCTTCAAGACGGCACAAGAGGATGGTCGTTGGGATGTCGCGGGGGGGCCTCTCCAGGGTCTCTGGGGGGCCATCTGGAGGCGTCTTGGGGGCCGTTTTGGGGGCCCCTGGGGGCGTCTTGGGAGCCTCGTGGGGATCTCTTGGGGCGCTTTGGGGGGCTCCTGGCTCGGATGTTCTGTTCGTGCTCCTCCTCGTGGGCCCTTCTTGGGGCTGTCTTTGGGCCATCTTGGGCCGTCCTGGGCGCCTCTGGGGCCGTCTTGGAGCTCTCTTGGTTGGGGGGCCTTCGAGGCCATCGTGGGGCGGTCTTGGGGACTTCTTGGGCCGTCCTGGAGCGTCGGAAGCTCGAAAAGTCAATGCATAAGGTTGGCCTCTCGGGGCCCTTATGGGACGGCTAATGGGGCGCCTCAAAACCTTCTCGGGCCGTCTTGGGGCCATCCTGGGCGTCTTGGGCAGATCGTGCGGCGATTCCGGCCCTCTTGGCCTGTCTGGGCGGCCTCGCAGGGGGCCCCTGAGCCCGTCTTGGGGCTTTCTGTGGGCCCGAGCAAGTCACGCGACAAGACGCCCCAATCCCCAGGGGCCACGCGACGCACCCCAGAAGATGTGACGGTTTGGGGCATGGGCCCTTTTTGAAGAATCCTCGGGATTGAGGACTGAGGCTTAAGCAATTCGGCACAGGACCCGAGGACACCCCAACTCGTGTCGCGAGGGCACGGTGGCGAACAGACGAGCAGGGTTTGGGGCCTCAGCCCAGCCGAGCTCGCCGAGGGCGGGTTCCCTGCTCGGTGGCCTCCGAGGACGCTTGTGCCGACGACCATCCCGTCCAGGCAGTCTCGGCGGCCTTCCCGCGGCACCCCTGCCCTCCCGGAGCCCGCTCCTCGCAGGGAGCGCAGCCAGCCAGAGCAGTGCGGGGCCGGCATGCTCCAGAAAGGGTGCCTTCTCTTCGGGGTGGACGCGCGTTCCTTTCGCCCCTGCTCCAGTCCATGGCGTACCTTATCCTGTGCAAGATCTTCGGCACCGCCTGTACTCTGAGCCCTCCGGCCGCCTGACGCCCCGCCCGCCCGCGCCCTGTCTCCCCAATTAGGGCTACTCGCGCCCCGTTTAGCCCTTGACCGGAAGGGGCCCGCTCCCGACCCGCAGACCCCAAAAAAGTGCTCCTTTCGCGGACGCCAGCGAGTGGTCCGTGCGAACAGGCAGCGGCAACGCAGAATGACGATGGAGCAGACTGCCTGACGGGGGAAGAGCTGCAGTGGCCCCAGTGCGCAGTGGAGGTCTGGTTGCCCGAGAAGGGCAGATCGCCATTTTCGTCGTCATCCTTTCCAGGGGAACGAAGAATGACATAAACAGAAGACTCGGAGGTCCGCGCGGATCTCTCCGATCCGCGCTGGAACCCCCTGGCGGCGCCTCGGGCGCCGCCCCTGGAGCGCCCCGCACGCCAGGGAGGGGTGTCCAGCGCCGATCCGAGAGATCCGCGCAGATCTCCGAGTTGTTGTGTTAGTGTTTATGTCATGCTTATTTCCTCTATCCTTCTCCGCCGTCGATTTCCCCGACCTCCCACCCAGGGCCAACCGGCCAGCCCAGAAACACGCGGGTTTGCCACGGGCCGTCACTTCGTCCAGGGGGCGATGCGGGGGTGGCAGAGGCAGGCTGTCCAGAGCATCGTTTTCCAAAATCAATCGCCCCCCACCTCCCCATGCCTTGGCATCGCTCGGACGTGTGCCATTTTTCTCGGCGGGCACCATCGAGGAGCATCTCGGGTCACCTTGCGAAGCATACACGCACGACATCGAAACATGCACAGGGAACGGATGTCCGAGCGATAGCCAGACATGCAGAGATGATCCGCTCTCAGCAACACAAGGCGCGCGGCCCACGGGAGGCCCACCCGCTTCCCCAGGGCCGTTGTCGTTCCTCCCGAGTCGTTTTCTGACAGCCCCAGGACCTGGCGAGGGCCCCTGGAGACGGAACAAGTGTCACTACAGTACCCATCGATCGATGAAAGTAGATATCTATGGATTCCCAGATTCCAGTCTCTCTTTAAAGCGCCATCCTACTCCAATGATCGAGTGCCTTCACCTTTTTCCGTCCTCCTTAGGGGGCGGGCGGAACCCGATCTACTTTCAACGCCTTCCCACTTCATGTTTCTACCTGCTTCTTCCGACCGATGGGTGCCTCTGGCCTGCACGCGCGTGGCATGCGCACACCGATCCCGGCCCAGGGTCGGAGCAGATCCCTCCCTGGCCAAGCCAGGGGGGGGCTACATCCCCCCTCGAAACCTAACGCGAGCTTTTCCCGCGACGCGGCGGCGCCCCGGGACACCCAAAATCTCAACGTTCGCGCCGGAGCTGATTCTGCCTGCTTCTTCCGACCGATGGGCATCCTCCTCCCTGCGCTGGAAGGCTTAAGTCGGGCCTGGCCCCCTACAGGGGGATTTTCGACGAAAAATAAAAAATGCCCCAACAATAGCCACAAAGTAGTCCAAAAATAGTCCGGGGATTATTTTTTGAGTCTTTTCTGACATTCTTGGGGCATTTTTGTTAGTATTTTTGATGTTTCGTCGAAAATCCCCCTGTAGGGGGACACGCCCGACATAATTCTGCCTGCTTCTTCCGACCGATGGGCATCCTCCTCCCTGCGCTGGAAGCCTGGGCTCGCCGTCGGCGTGGCAGCGAGGAGGAGGAGGAGGAGGAGGAGGAGGAGGAGGAGGAGGAGGAGGAGGAGGAGGAGGGAGGAGGGAGGAGGAGGAGGAGGAGGGAGGAGGGAGGAGGGAGGAGGAGGAGGGAGGGGAGAGGAGGGGAGGAGGAGGAGGAGGAGGAGGAGGGAGGAGGAGGAGGAGGAGGAGGAGGAGGAGGAGAGGAGGAGGGAGGAGGAGGAAGGAGGAGGCGGAGGAGGAGGAGGAGGAGGAGGAGGAGGAGGGAGGAGGAGGAGGAGGGCGAGTCCCGGCGCCGCCGTGCGGCCGCGCGGCGCCGCGCGCCGGCCGGGAGGGGGGGCCGAGGCCAGTGGAAGGCGCGCGCCCCGCGGCCCTGCGGGCCCGCCGAGGGGGCTCTGTGGGGGCGGGCAACGAGGGGGGGATGCCTCCTCCTACTCCTCCTCCCCTCTCCTCCCTCCTCCTCCTCCTCCTCCTCCTTCCTCCTCCTCCTCCTCCTCCTCCTCCTCCTCCTCCTCGTCTTCCTCCTCAATTCAAACTGCGTCTCCGGCCAGGACCCCAACTTGTATCCGTGCATCGGGGGCGGCAAAGAGGGGGGTGATGACTAGGGGGGGGGGGATCTCATGGCGTGGGCCATGACATTTCCCCAGATTTCGTGGCGCCTCTTCGTGCCGCCCGTCATGTGTTGCACCCCCCCCCCCCCTCTTGGACACCCCCCTCTTGGCCGCTCCCGACTCTGGGAGCCTCTCTGTGGTCTGCAGGAGGTGTTCTCAGAACATGTCTGGCTGAGGTCGTCTTGGGTTGACGCCTCGGGCCTCCGTTCTGAGAGCCCTGTTCTTCTTCTTCTTCTTCGAACATGCTTGGACTCCAGGAGCATGTCGTGGCAGGCCTGCAGGAAGGCCGGGGCGGTCGGTCCCTGCTCAGGCCTGCGGGGCAGCGGCCGGCGGCCCCCGCAGGTGCACTCGAACGTGAAGAGGGCCGTGAAGCACATCCCCGCGGAGGGCGGGCTGGACCGTCCGAGCCGCGGGCCCGGCGGGGGGCCTCGACGCCCATGGAGGAGCAACGCATGACGTAAGCACACACACACACACACACATTTTTACAGGTCCGCGCGGAGCTCTCCGATCGGCGCTAGGTCAAGCAGTGGCGGAGCGTGCCAGCGTGCCTCTGGGCCCCCCAGAGGATGTTCTGAGACTTGTGTTTTGTGGTCTGCACGAAATATCCCTAATTTGCCCATTTCTGGCGGAGCTTGCCTTTTTCTGACACATCGGGGTTCTGTTCTAAGAATTTTGCTTTTGATATCAGAACGTTTTTGGGCTCGTAGAACATGTCTTGGCAGGCCTATAGTGTTGCCTGGATGGCCGGTCCCTGCTCCACATCGAGGAACAGCACATGACGTAAACATAATTTTTGTTTGGAGGTCCGCGCGGCTTTCTCGGATCGTCGCTAGAGCCCCCTGGCGGCGCCTCCAGTGCTCACCACCCACCAACCCACCCCAACCCAACCCGAGGGCCCCGATTGGCCCTCCATGTCCAGTGGGGGGAGGGGGTCTGGGAATATTTTGAAAACACACATGTGGAACCCGTAATAACCCCGCCCCACAACCCGAATCTCTCGCAGGCCTAGAGGTTGACACCAACACCAATTTCGGTGGTGTGCCCCGACCGAGGGCAGAAGATTCCGATCTTGGTGATGGTCTAATATTCTGGCTTCCAAGGTGACAGAAATATTACCACCAGCACCGAAATCTAGGATCGTCGTTCCCCTGTGGAGGCAACCCCCTGTCTTGGTGTTGGTGCCCATTTCCAGGCCTCCAAAATTTGTGTCTTCGGGTGGGGTTGGGGTGGTTTGGTAGGTAGTCCGGTGCCGCCCCCAGGACGAGGCCTCCTGGCGCGCTCCGCGCACCAGGAGGCCTCGTCAGTGTAGGGCACTGCAGAAGGCCTAGATACTCTAGAGAGCAGCGACCAAACTCTACAGTGTCTCCGTACCGAACTAATAGTACGTAGTCAGCCAAGAGGAGGAGGAGGAGGAGGAGGAGGAGGAGGAGGAGGCGGAGGAGGAGGAGGAGGAGGAGGAGTGTACGACCAAACTACGCGCTACCATAGTATGTGCCGCCCCCCGGCGCGCCCCGCGCACCAGGTTTCAACGGTCCAGCGCGCCGAGGCAGGGAGCCGGCGCGGGCCTCCCCAGAGGTGTCAGGCAGGTGCACGTGCGGCACCCTGGGGCCAGACCTCCTCCTCCTCCTCCTCCTCCTCCTCCTCCTCCTCCTCCTCCTCCTTTTCCTCCTCCTCCTCCTCCTCCTCCGCCTCCTCCTTTTCCTTCTCCTCCTCCCTCCTCCTCCTCCTCTCCTCTTATTCTTCTTCTCCTCCTCCTTTTCCTCCCCCTCCTCCTCCTTTTCCTCCTCCTCCTGCGCCTCCTCCTCCTCCCTCCCTTCCTCCTCCTCCTCCTCCTCCTCTTCCTCCTCTTCTTCTTCTTCGTCTTCTTATCATTATTATTCTTCTTCGATTCGCGTCTCGGGTAGGGGGAGAGGTCAAGTTCCCCACGGGCACGTCATACCAGCCTCGTCAAAAATACACAGAGGACTTCCGGATTCGCTGATCGTGGGGTCAGCGCTGCTCCAATGCTGACGGATTTCTGTTGGCTCGGAGGCGGTGTTGTCCAAAAACCGACCCCACAGCCTCAGCATTGAAGAACGCGCTTTCTGACAAGGGCCCGGGAGTATCGTGCCCCAGGATTTCAACTTCCATATCTGGATATGTTCAACGAGGCTCGTAGGCCGTCTCGCTCACTCCCGCCATTCGGGCGCAGGAGCGTCCCCAGAAAAACCACTGCGGGCGTGGAGTGCGCGCCGATCGGGAGGTGCGCCAGGGGACCGCCCAGGGCCCCAGAGCGTGCCAGGCGCGCCTGGTGCTCCAGATGCTCCACACCTAAGTCGGGCATGTTCCTCGACCGGAGGAGTACTCCAGAATAGAAGAAATCGTCGGGCATGTCCCTTGACAGGAAGAGCACGTCAGAATAGCAACAGAAATACTGTGGCGACGGCTTGTCGTGCTCTTGCTTTTGAGTTCGGTTCGATTGTGTTCAGATTTGTTTTTATTGTTCTTCCAGACCCCGCCCGTAGGAGGACATGCCCGACCTAGCTCCACGTGCGCCAGCTGTGCCGCGTGCTCCAGTCGCGCAAGCCTGTGCCCCAGCTGTGCGCGGCCCGCGCGCCTGGTGCTCCAGGCCTGCGACAGCTGCGCCCGTGCACGCGCCACCCCCCACGGCCACCCTGTCAACAAAAATCCGGCGGCGAGCGAGGGGGGGGTTAAGAAAAGAACCACCCGTACCCGAGAACTGGCGTTCACGAAACGGCCCTGGGCGTTCACTAAACAGCCCTACCCCGTTCGATTCCTTCTCTGGGTGTGTTTACCAACCGACTTCGCGTGTCGGAGTGGTTACTATGGGGGGGGATTTCTTGACTTCCAAAATCGTGCAAAGGCGTTCTGGAACGCTCCCAGAGCGTTCCATAGCGCTTGTCGGGGTGGTTATTATTATGGGGGTGGATTGTTTGCCCTCTCGAGGGGGGGGGGGGTGAAAGGGGCGGGCCTTCGCAGAAGGCTCGGAAGTTCCCCGGGGCTCCTGCGAAGTGTTCTACTTAAACCTCCCCCGAAGACACCACAAAATTTCTCAGAAGGCGCGAGGGAGTTTCTGAGAAGTCCGGCCGTCTTCTGAGAAGGCTTTCTCCTTCTCGCTTCCCCCCCTCGCTCGCTGCCGAAAAATCCGATGCAAAGTGGCGACGGCGTGGTCAGCATGCTGTACGGTGTGAGCCCCCGCGGCGAGTTTGCACCTGTTGTTGGCAGAGGTAGTGGGGCAGCCCACGGCGGGCAAATATGATCCCTCCTGGCATCCGTGCCAAAAAATGCAAAAGTGGTGGCGGAGTGCCCTCTCATGTTCCAGATTGTGCGGCCCCGTGCACTTTGTAATGTTTTGACGTGGATGGCGGGGGGGGGGTCTCATGGCTCCTGGCTGACAGCCAGTCGAGTAAGGGAGGGCGTGCTTGTTACCAAGGAGCCATCGTGAACGCCTCCACGACGGGGACGAATGGGGCTGGGAGAGCGAGCTCGCCAAACCACGACACGCCCTGCAGGGCTGGTGCGCTCTGTCACCGGCTGCGGCCTCCGGGACCCCTCGCCGTGCCCGGGGACCTTCAGAGCACGGCCCGGGGTGCAAAGCTTGAGCTGCGGGGGCACGGCAGCGACAAACATCAGGACATCGGATCTGCGGGACCAGTCTCGGCGAGGGCTTGAATGGGGGGGAAGGGGCGTGGTGCCACAGCCTGGTGCGTGCAGCAGGTCTCGAGCCTGCCGATGGCGGTTTCCCTTGGCACACGGCTGCACACGCGGCGGAGCGAACAAGTTTCATGCCGCTCGTTCGCTGACCCGGGCTGTCGAAACACGTCGCTCTCCGGGCAACGGGCTTGATCGTTGGCAAGCGGGTTTGTTCTCCAAGTGTGATGTAAGGGTTCTGACAGTTTTTCGGTCGGTCCTGACAGAGTTCGTTGCCCAGGCGATACCCTCTCAGGTTCCCGATGGAACTATACAGGAAAATGAATGGGGTAATCTGGATTTCATTTGCGTTTCTCGAGGGCTGCATCGGAAATTCTTTTTTGCTGTGGATGAGCCTGGGGGGGGTTCTGGAGATCCCAGTAGGTTCTCACGAACAAGTCCTTTGTCTTCCTCAGGATGTCCTTGATATTCCCCCAGGCGCCCCTCGGGCTTCCCAAGAAGAGACTCCCTTGACGTCCCTCAGGCGGCCGAGGTAACCCCAGGAAGCAATCAGCAATTCCCCGCCCCCACCCCTCTCATCAGAGGAAGTTGCAACGCATCCGGCACTGGGGCCGGGGCGGAAGCGATGTCCCCAAAATTCCGTAGATACTTCCGAGGTCCTTTTCAGTTTGTGTTGGTATTCTTGGGACTGTCCTCAAGGCGAAACTTTGTTGCTTCATGCTCTGACGATCTCGCCGAGAGGGCGCTTCCAAAAATAGACATGTGTTTTCCCAAACCATTTTGTGGTGTTGGGTCCTGGTTTTGAAGAGACAGTCCCCACATCTCCTCTCCTCTCCTCATCCTCCTCCTCCTTCTCCCCCTCCTCCCTCCCCGTCACCTCCCTCACTTTGGAAAGAGCGTATTCTATCGCTGCTGGCAGAAAACGGGGGGGAGGACTGGGGGTTTCCAACCCGTCCCCCCCCCCTCGAAAACCGGGGGGGGGGTCACTGGGGGGTCCAAACCCCGCCCCCCCGGTCCATCCATCATGAAAAAGGGGGGGGTCATTACCGGTTCGACCCCCCCCATTCCCTCGCCGCTGGCAAACGACTTCCCCTCCCCCCCCACTCCAGACAGTGAGACGGCGGTGGGGATTGGGGACAATGGTGGGAACAGCAGGGACAGTGGGACAGTGGTGGGGACAGTGGGGACAGTTGGGAGAGTTGGACCGTGGTGGGGACAGTGGTAGGGACAGTGAGGACAGTGCGACACAAGTGGAGGCACTGGTAGGGACAGTGGGTACAATGGTGGGAACAGTGGAGACAGCGGGACAGTGGTGGCACAGTGGGACAGTGTTGGGGACGGTGATGGTGGGGACAGTGATGAGGGGACAGTGGGGATAGTGGTTGGGGACAGTGGGGACTGTGGGACAGTGGTGGGGACGGTGGTGGTGGGGACAGTGGTGAGGACGGTGGTGAGGACGTGTGTGGGACAATGGGACAGTGATACAGTGGAGACAGTGGTGGGCACAGTTGTGGGGACAGTGGGGACACTGGGACAGTGGTGGGAACAGTGGGACAGCTCAGTGGGACAGTGGTGGGGACAGTGGGGACAGTGGGACAGTGGTGGGGACAGCGGGGACAGTGGGACAGTGGTGGGGACAGTGCGGAGAGTGTGACTGTGGTGGGGACAGTGGTGGGGACAGTGGGGACAGTGCGACAGTGGTGGGGGCACTGGTGGGGACAGTGGGGACAGTGGTGGGAACAATAGGACAGTGGGACGGTGGGGACGGTGGAGGTGGGGACAGAGGTGAGGGCGGTGGTGAGGACGGTGGCTGGGTCCCAGAAGTCGTTTGCCGGCGGCCAGCGGGGGGGGGTCGAACAGGTAGTGACCCCCCCGGTTTTCTGGAGGGGAGGGTGGGGGTAGGGTTCCAACTAGTAGTGACCCCCCCTCGATTAACCAGGGGGGGGGTTAGGAGGGTGAGGACGATTGTGGGACAATGGGACAGTGGTACAGTGGGGACTGTGGCGGGGACAGTGGGGACAGTGGGACAGGGGTGGGAACAGTGGGACAGCTCAGTGGGACAATGGTGGGGACAGTGGGGACAGTGGTACAGTGGTGGGGACAGCAGGGACAGTGGGACAGTGGTGGGGACAGTGGGGACAGTGGGAGGAGGGGGACCGTGGTGGGGATAGTGGCGGGGACAGTTGGGACAGTGCGACAATGGTGGGGGCACTGGTGGGGACAGTGGGGACAGTGGTGGGAAAAGTGGGGACAGTGGGACAGTGGTGGGGACGGTGGTGGTGGGGACAGTGGTGAGGGCGGTGGCGAGGACGGTGGTGGGGACCCGGGAGTCGTTGGCCCGCGGCGAGTGGGCGTGGGTGGGTTCGAACCGGTAGTGACCCCCCCTGTTTTCTGGAGGGGGAGGGGAGGGGAGAGGGGATTCGAACCGGTAGTGACCCCCCCAGCTTTCCGGAGAGGGGGGGGCTTCGGATAGGGGGGGATTTTGCCAGAGGAAGGGGGGGAGGGGGAGGTTCGAGCCGGGGGCGAGGGATTTTCGGAGGAGGAGAGGGGGGACCTCCCGGGCTCCGAAGGAAAAGGGCGGGGAGGTTTTTTCACAGTAAAGCTGCGGTGGATCACGCTCTCTCTTCACTTTGGCACAGCCCTCACACGCTTCGTGGCCCCATAGGCAGCTCCACCGAAAGCCCCTGTGGCATGGTTCGCATGCCGCCCCCTCCACTTTGGCACACCCCTTACAAGTTTCGTGGCCCCATTGGGAACTCCACCGAAGGCCCCAATGGCATGGTTCGCACGCCGCCCCCCCTCCACTTTGGCACACCCCTCACAAGTTTCGTGGCCCCACAGGGAACACCACCGAATGCCCCAGTGGTAGTATGGTTCGCATGCCGCCCCCCCTTCTAATTTGGCACACCTTTCACACGCTTCGTAGCCCTATAGGAAGCGTCACCAAAGGCCCCAGCGGCATGGTTTGCATGCCGCCCCCCCTCTACTTTGGCACACCCTTCACACGTTTCGTGGCCCCATAGGGAGCTCCACCGCAAGCCCCTGTGGCGTGTTTCGCACGCCGCCCCCCGTCCAATTTGGCACACCCTTCACACGTTTCGTGGCCCCATAGGGAGCTCCACCGCAAGCCCCTGTGGCGTGTTTCGCACGCCGCCCCCCGTCCAATTTGGCACACCCTTCACACGTTTCCGTGGCCCCATCGGGAACTCCACCGAAGGCCCCAGTGGCATGGTTCGAAAGCCGCCCCCCCACCATTTTGGCATACCCTCCACACGTTTCGTGGCCCAATGGGGAGCTCCACCGAAGGTCCCAGTGGCTTGGTTCGCATGCCGCCCCCCGTCCAATGTGGTACACCCCTTACACGCTTCGTGGCCCTGTAGGGAGCTCCACTGAAGACCCCAGTGGCATGGTTCGCATGCCGCCCCCCGTCCAATTTGGTACACCTCCCACACGTTTCGTGGCCCATCGGGGAGCTCCACTGAAGGCCCCTGTGGCATGGTTCGTATGCCGACCCCCCTTCCATTTTGGCGCACCCCTTACAGGTTTCGTGGCCCCAAAGGCTGCTCCACCGAAGGCCCTTGTGGCATGGCTCGCATGCCGCACCCCGACCATTTTCGCACACCACTCACACGCTTCGTGGCCCCATAGGGAGCTCCACCGAAGGCCCCAGTTGCATGGTTCTCATGCCGCCCCCCGTCCAATTTGGTACACCCTCTTACGTTTCGTGGCCCCATAGAAAGCTCCACCGAAGGCCCTTGTGGCATGGTTCGCATGCCGCCCCCTCTTCCATTTTGGCGCACCCCTTACACGTCTCGTGGCCCCATAGGCTGCTCCACCGAAGGCCCCAGTGGCATGGCTCGCATGCCGCACCCCGACCATTTTGGCACACCATCCGCACGCTTCGTGGCCCCATAGGGAGCTCCACCGAAGGCCCCAGTTGCATGGTTCTCATGCCGCCCCCCGTCCAATTTGGTACACCCTTTTACGTTTCGTGGCCTAACGGGGAGCTCCACCGAAGGCCCCTGTAGCATGGCTCGCACTCCGTCCGCCGTCCAATTTGGCACACCCTCCACGCTTCGTGGCCCAATGGGGAGCTCCACCGAAGGCCCCTGTGGCTTGGTTCGCAGGCCGCCCCCCGCCCAATGTGGTACACCCCTTGCACGCTTCGTGGCCCTGCAGGGAGCTCCACCGAAGGCCCCACGCTTCGTGACCCTGCAGGGAGCTCCACCGAAGGCCCCAGCGGCATGGACCGCATGCCGACCCCCTTCTATTCTGGCACACCCCTCACGCGTTTCGTTTCTTGGGTCCCACAGGGAGCCTCTCCGAAGGCCCCAGCGGCAGCGCCCGCATGGCGGCCCGGCGCACCCTTCGCGCGTTTGGTGCCCGTAAGGAACTCCACCGCAGGCAGTTCTCACAGCGGCGCTATTCACATCTACACATGGTTGGGTCCTTAGCCAGTTCTTGGTGCCAGATCGCCTGTGGGGGGGTACTGTTTGCTTCTTCCCAGGGTTCTGGCTGACCCCCCCTGTTGTGGACAGGCTGCGGGACGAGGAGGCACGGCGAGGTCGGTGGCGGCGGCCGCGGCCGACGCAGCGACGACGACGACGACGGATGCAGGACGAGGAGGCACGACGAGGACGACGGCGACGCTGGCCCGAGGACGCGGCGCGCCCGCACTCCAAGTGCTCGGAGCGGACGACCGCGGCCTCGCCGCGGCGCTCGCCCTCGCCGCCACCGGCCGGCGCCTCGCCGCCCACGCCGCGCCTCGCCGACCGCGGCCTTCCTGGGAAACGACAGGGGGGGATGCGGCACAGGGGGGTGCGCATCGACCCCCCATCGCCCACTGATCGCCCATAGGGGCCCAGCAGCCCCACCCTGCCCAGGAGCGTGCGGATTCGGGACTTGCAGTCCTCGGGGGCCTAGCGCCGACCTGCCTGCGAGGCCTCGCCGATTCCGGGTGGATGCGCCCCCACCTGTGCCAGAGTCTCCCCCCCTATCGTTGCCCCTCAGGCGGCCCCCGCTGCAGCTCCGTGATGACGATGGGCAGCCCGCTGGAGCCTGGCGGGGGGAGCGCGCGTCCTCCGCCCTCTTGGCCTTCGAGGGCGTTCGAGGAGGACGAGGAGGGCGTTCGAGGAGGACGAGGGGAGCCCAGGCGGGACGAGGGCGTTCGAGGAGGACGGGGAGACGGATGAGTGGGGCAGGGAGCGGCGGTGCCGCGCCGCACAGAGCCGACGCAGCTCCGCGATGGCGATGGCCAGCCCGTGGGAGCCGCCGGGGAAGGGGCCGCGACGACGTTGGCCAGCCCGTGGGTCGCAACAAGGGAGCGATGTCCCGGAGGAGGCCCAGAGGTAGTTCTCCGTGTTTTGGCGCCTAGGGCCCTCCGAAGGACCCGCGTCACGGCCGGTCGAGAAACCAGTGCCTGGCGGTTTGAATGCACATAAAAATGCGACATGATGTGGTACGATGTGCAAATCATTGAGTTTGAATCACACAACTCGGCGAACGACAAGGGGGAGCGACGATGACCAGCCTGTGGCAGCCGCGGTGGGCGGGGTGGAACAGAGGAGATAGTGTACGAGGATCGAACTTAGAGGCTTGAGGCTTGCGGACCTCTTTGGGCCTCCTGGGGGGTTCCTCGGCAGTGTGGGCAGCACTAGAAACCAGGCGATCGCAAACATGGATTGATGGGGGCGTGGATTAGCGACGGGTCCCGCTTCCTTGGGAAATCGCGGGTTCCCGCCGCCGAACGAGGCGGCATTGGCCGCATTTGGGGGACGGCACCTCCCCCGATCCATGGATTTGGCGCCCGCGCGCCAAATCCATGGATCGCTAATCCATGTTTGCGCGTCCCCGAAGAAAGGTCTGGGGAGGATCATGGTGGGGGCACATCGGCGACTGGCTTGTGGGAGCCGCAACGCGGGGGGACGGCCTGGCGAGGCGGGGGAGGAGCAGGTCCGAGCGTTGTTTTCCATTTCCGTAATGTTTCCCGGCTTCTGGGGGTCGGCCTCGGGGCCCCGGGGGGTCGAGATTGGCGAAGGCCGCGTCCCGCGGAGGGGTCTCGGGCCAGATCTACAAGTTACACAGGATGTTTGGTCGGGGACGGGGGGGGGCAAGGGGGAGGGGAACGACGAGGACGACGAGGATAACCGAGGCCGCGACGTTTTCCGTAGCCATTTTGGTTCAAGGCTAAACGTTGTGAAGGGATATAGACGCCCGAGAATCACCGATTAGTTTTGGCGGTGTCCGTGGCCTTATCCCGAGCCGCTTGGAGGTGCAGGAACTCTCGCTCTCGCCACGCCCCAGTTTTTCCCCGCACACAGAGCACAGCCATGGCGGCGGAAGCGGCGCCAGAATGGGTTCGTGCCATCCTCACCACCGTCACGGGCTTGGACTCCAAGCTCTTGACGTTCCAGCAGGAGGTGAGCGCTCCCGTCACTGAGATGCGCCTGGTCTACGACCAGATGGCGGCGCGTATTGACATTTTCGACGCCAGCATGGAGCAGTACCAGACACTTGAGGAGTCGATGGCGGCTTACCTCGGCGGAGCAACTGGACCGAGGCCGCGGAGCAACTGAAACCAAGCGGCGGAGCAACTGACACCAAGCGGAGGAGCGGCGGAGCAACTGAGCCAGTTGTTGGCCCAGTTGCTCCGCCCGCCCATCTCAGTTGCTCCGCCCGCCCCCCGTCCCCCCTGCGCCTCTGGGGCAGTCTCAGTTGCACCTGGGGTGGTTGCAGTTGCCGCAACAGAACCCAAGCGGCGAAGGGCGTGGAGGAGGGGGAGGAGGCGGAGGAGCGGAACGGGAGAGGAGGAGGAGGAGGAGGAGGAGGAGGAGGAGGAGGAGGAGGTGGAGGAGGGCTATCGGAAGCGAGCGGGCGAGAACGCAAATAACATGTTAGTGCGTGCACGGGAATGATGAGAAAGGTTTTCGGGTGTCGTGTCCAGGCTTGGCCCCCCGCGTTGCTCATCGCAACCGCTCGGGCTCAAGCGTCAAAAGGCACGGGTTTGTCGCTCGATGGCCCTCACGCCTTCCCAGGTAGCACTCTTCGCCTGGGTCGCCGTGATAGCCCCCTCGCTCTCCGGCTGGCTGGCCGGCTCCGCTGCTGGCCGCTCCGCGCCGGCAGGCCCAGGCCGCGCAGCGGCCGTCGACTGGTGCTGGGAGCCCCCGCCGTGGGACTGCTCCTGTTCCTGCACCTGCCCGTCGTCGGCGGCGCCCGAGCCGCCTGCCCCGCCCCCGCTGGGGGCCTCAGTGCGGCTCGCGCCCGACGGAGCCGCGGCGATCGAGGTGGTGTGGCCGTGGCTGGGAGGCCTCGCGGTCTCACCCGACCTCGCCCTCGCCGGCTGCCTGGGGTTCGGGATTTTCGAGGTCATCTTCGTGCTGTATTGCTGTCGCCGTGCTGCACGGCCCGACTCGACGCATCGCCGTGTGATCCACAATGGAGCAAGACTGGGTGCCGGGGACGCAGTTGCTCGTGTCGTTCGTCACTGATCCTGGGTTCAGGCACGAGCGCGTCATCGTGTGGCCGTGTCACGAGGGATCGTGGATCGTGTACACGGGCGGCGGCGACCTGTACGTGGAGGAAGAGAAGGACTGGGACAAGGTGTGCCTCATGACGGCGGGTCAGCCGCCGAGGTCTCTGCCAGACGACGGGGCCAAGGTCGTGCAGTTTGCGAGGTTCCCGACGGACGACGAGCTACGTGGGCTCATCGCCGAGGCCCGCGCCGAGGTGGCGTCCTTGCGGGAGTCCGAGCCTGACCGCGGCGTGCCGTCGGACCCGACCTACTTCCTGTCGGAGGATGGCCGCCAGCACCCACTCCTTCGCCGCCGCCTCCAGGGCAAGCAGGTGAGGCGCGCCGGCAGGGAAGGCAACCCACCTGTCGCCGATGCGGGCGCTGCGGCTGCCGAGTCCCATGGCGGCGCTGAGGATGTGGGTGGCGACGCGCTGGCCGCCGACGGTGAGCGACATCGCTGGCTCGTGAGCGAGCCCGGTCTGGTCTGGGAGTTGGGCACCCCTGTGCCGCACGCATCCGTCATGATCAGGCTGGGTGACCGCGGCGTCGCCGACATCAACGGCGTGACGGTGCCGGCGCAGAGCGTTCCCGAGGCGGAGGTGGGCGACTACGCGTCCATGAAGACCTCGGCCTACGAGGTGGCGATCCGCGACGCCGACGGCACGCCCACGGACTTCGGGCGGCGTGTCGGGATCGTGCCGAGCCACTCGCCCTCCCACGGCGAGGCAGCCAAGCCGACCGCCCCCGTGGAGGCCACCGAGCCGGGTGATGTTCGCACCCTGTGGGTGGACACTGACGCCATGAACGTCCGATTCAAGTCGCGGCGTAACGTGGTCATGGAGAGCTACCCCACGGTGTGGACCGACAGCCCCGTGGAGGGGCCGTCTAGCGTGATGTATATTCTCAGGCATTCTGATCGGCACGGTGGCAACATCAGGATGTGGCTCGACCTCTGGTCCCGCTCGAAGAACCTGGGGCCTGGCGAGCGTGTCATGCACGAGCTCCCCGTCCTCTGCGAGGTCCTCTACGTGGGAGGCACTTACGACCAGCTCAACATGCCGTGGCTGGTCAGCTTCGAGATCATAGCGCGCCGCATCCAGAGAATCGTGGACGCTTACTCGGGCGACCCCTCCCGACCGCAGTGGGCCAACGCGAGGCTCTACTCCGGTGTGGGTTCTGCAGTGGACATGGTCGCGCCCGAGCTGAAGCACTACGTGGCAAAGAGGGCCAAGGACGAGGCCGAGGTCGAGTCCATGCGGGTCCGAGCCCGCGACCTTCCGATCGCTGCCGACGCCGTCGCGGCTGGCGGTCTTCCCTCCGCTGGACGCGGAGCACCTGTCGCCGCCGCGACGGGCCAGCCTTCCAAAGGACCGGGCCGTGGCGCCCCGAAGGGAGGCAAAGGCGCCGCTGCCGCGGCGGAGAACCAATGAGTGATATGACCCTCGGCGGCGGGACTGGCCCAACCTCCGCCGTTCGCCTTCCTGGGCTTGCACGTGGATCCGCTGAGATCTTCCCGTTGCCCGACGACCCCAGCCTCGTCGCGGACCTCTGGATCCACCTTCAGGGGCGTGCCCAACGCCGGTTCGTGAGGGACTGGCGGCAGTGCGTGCGTTCGCTTAATTGGTTGTGGGGCGCTGGACATCGTGAGGCCGCGCGTCGTGCTCAAGGTGACGTCCATCCATACCGTTTTCGACTTCAACAGGAGGTGCTGGCGCGAATCGCCCAGGGGGTCCAGATCTACATGGATCCACCCTCCGACCTCTCTCCGAAGGAGGCCTTTCAGGGGCTACTTCGAGGCCGCGGGGTCTACGACACCGAGACGGCCTACACTACCCTGGCACCCTACCAACGGGGCGCGGTATCTCTTCCCTGTGACGTCTCGACGGCCCCGGCTGTGGGAACCCTGGTCACGGGGCGCGCCCTCGAGTATCTGGTAGAGGCAGAGGAGCAGATGATCAGGACTGATGCTGAGGTCCAGCTTGACCGTGAGACGAATGGCGAAATCAAGACCTACACCGACCCCCTGCTCGCCAATAGCCGCCGCCGATACTCCACCTTCGTGAAGGACCTGAAGCGGAAAGGCTTGGTGGGCTTCACCCGCGATCCCAAGGAGTTCGTAGGTGTTTTCTTCGTGTGGAAGAAGGAGCGCGCCTCCATGAGGATGGTGCTCGACTGCCGTCGCTCTAATCAACGTTTCGTGACCCCTCCTGGGGTGGAGCTGCTGTCTACTGAGGGGCTGGGCCGTATCGAGTGCGACACGGAGCAGACCGGCACGTTACCCATCTTCCTGGGCAAAGCTGACGTGAAGGACTTTTCACCGCATGATGTTCGGCAACCACCTCTCTAAGTACTTCTGCTACCCAGGCGGCCTGGCCAAGGAGTTCGGCATCGTCGGGCAGGTGGTGGAGGGGGTGTCTGTGCGCGCCGACGACTACCTCTGGCCTTGCGCCCTCGCGCTGCCCATGGGCTGGACGTGGTCGCTCTACTTCGCCCAGGTGGCCAACCTCGGCCTGGTGGAGCGGGTCCCCGCGCTCACGTCGAGCTGCGTGGCTACCGATCGGGGGCCGCCTATCGTGCTGACCCCGACCTCCTCCTGGCACTACGTCTACGTCGACAATGTGGGGCTCTTGTCGCTCGACGCCTCCTACGTCAAGGGGGCCCTGGCGGATACCATCGCGGCCTTCGACGCCGCGGGCCTCATCATGCATGACATCTCGGTGGACTCCGACATCGCCGAGGCGCTGGGAGTGACGCTCGATGGCCGGAAGCACCAGACCCTCGTCAACCACCGGCGCTACTGGAAGGTCAGACTGGCCCTCCGGTGGGCCCTCTCCCTGCGTCGCTTGGCGGGGCGGGAGCTCGAAGTTTTGCTTGGCCACTGTACATTCGTCGGCTTGATGTGCCGGGAAACCCTGTCCGTGCGGCACACCGTCTACACCTTCATCCGCGAGCGGTACTGGGCCAAGAGCGACGTGTGGGACTCCGCGCGGCAGGAGCTCGAGTGTTTCCTCGGGCTGATGCCGCTCCTTCGCTCTGAGTGGGATCGGCCGTGGCTCGCGCAAGTACTGTCCGTGGACGCCAGCCCGTACGGCTGGGGGATTGCCAGCTCCGAGTTCGGAGAGTCGACGGTGAAAAAGCAAGGCAGGATCCTCGAACGATCTCGCTTCCGTCGTCTCGGAGGGTTGCCGGCTCGGGCCAGTGCCCTCGCTGCCGCGGGGTTTGTCTACTCACCCACCACCGCTCGATGGCAGGTCAATGACGAGAAGGAGCGTGACCCCTCGGACGTTCAGGAGGCGGGTGCCTGGGAGATGCGTAAGGACTTCCCTGAGATTCCTGGGGCCCTCCTCCACGGGGATCGGTGGCGCTTGATTTTGCATGGCAAGTGGGCCTACTCCGAGGATATCCTGATTCTTGAGGCTCGCGTCCTGGTCAAAGCTGTCGCAAGAGTTTGTAATTGTGTTCCAGGTGGATTCTGCAGAGTATTGTTATTGGGAGATAATATGTCGGTGATATTAGCCTGTGAAAGATTTCGGGCCCGCAGCTTCGGGCTCTTGGTGCAGATCAGACGGATCGCGGCCTACGCTCTGGCCCGAGGGGTTCGATTTGGGTTCAGGTGGCATCCCTCAGAGCTCAATAGTAGCGACGCTGGGTCCCGTATCTACGACCCCAACTACGACTCCACGAAGGATCTCACTCGCCTGGTGGCTGATGGACACGGACCCGGTGAAGTCCTGCCTCAGCCTGCGGATCTACCTCGATCCGACGACGTCGTGGCTCAAGATCCAGGATCGCTCGACACCCCTGATCCCTTCGCCTGCACCGTATTCCACGACTGCCATGAAGCGGACCCGCACCCTGGAGGCGCCGAGTCACAACATCGCGGGCCAGAAGAGCCGGCGCACGACGACCAGTACGCATCCGACGGCGACTTCCTGTCTGCCTTCAGCGACCCCGGGGCCATCGAGGACACGTACCCTCCCGCGACCGGAGATTCGCTCGAAGCTGGGACAGCCGGTGCCCCCGGCCAAGGGGTCTCTGGAGACGCTAGCGGCCAAGGGGCCCGCATGGGCTACAGCAGCAGTCACGGCCGCTGCCACCGCCGCGGCCGCCGACGGGGACAGCGATGGCACTACTACGGCCGACGAGATGGAGAGGGGAGCCGACGGCAGGTCATCTCAGCAGCGGGTCCGCACCCTGCGTGCCGATCGGCGCGCGCGCAGGTACCTGCAGCTAGCCGAGACCCTGCCGCCGCAGTCGTCGGTGCTGGAGGAGATGGCCGTCTCGGTGCGCACGCAGCGCCAGTACGTCATGGAGCTGCAGGGGTTCGTGGACTTTGCCTACCTGCGGCAGCTGCGCACCGCCACGTCCGCGCTCCTCGACGCCGCCCTGGTAGAGTACATGAACCACATGTTCTTCCGGGGCGAGCAGGCGTTCAGGGGCGAGAAGCTCCTAGCCGCGGTAATGGCCCGCTCACCCGAGTTCTCGAGAGTTGGTATCAGCAAGATGCCAAGAGCCTGGCGTTGCCTGAAGGGATGGAGGCGCCTGACTCCAGGGCGCTCCCGCAAGCCCGCTCCCCTGCCAGTCTGGTGTGGCATCGCGGTGGAGTTCGCAAGGCGGGGCATGCTGGCCATGGGGCTCGCCGTGATGATCGGAGTCAGCTGTTACCTCAGGCCCTCGGAGCTCCTCAACCTTACCTCGGACAACCTGGTGGCTCCAGCGTCGCCTGTGTCGCAGTACTGGAGCCTCCTTTTGCATCCTTCGGAGGGGGAGAAAAGGAGCAAGACGGGGGATGCGGACGACTCGCTGATCATCGACTCAGCCTACATGCTGCCGTGGGTGCACGACTTCCTCCAGGCCTTGAAGGACAAGGGCGGCCGGCTGTGGTCCTTCGACTATCTCACCTTCTTGGCGGAGTTCAAGACTGTTGCCAAGATGCTGGGCATGCCGCACCTTGTACCCTACCAGATGAGACACTCAGGGCCGTCGATAGATCGCCTCAAGCCGGACCGCAGCCAGGAGGAGTGTCAGAAGCGCGGGAGGTGGAAAAGCTGGAAGAGCCTCGTTCGCTACGAAAAGAGCGCCCGCCTCGGAAGCTTCTGGAACGAGCTTCCCGCCGACATACAGGCGCACATGCGCCTGTGCGAGGACCAGCTCGTCGAGTTCCTCTGGTCGCCCGAGCGTGCCCCAAGACCACCGCCCGTCCGCGGCTAGCCAAGGATGGCACCTACATGGCCGACCTGTTCTCCGGCTCGGGCAAGGTTGCTCGAGCGGTGATGCAACTGGGGTTCTCCGCCAAGGCCTGGGACATCATCCACGGCCCCCACCATGACATCACCGACCCGGCTGTGCTCAGGCTGCTGCTCTCGGACATCCGTGACGGCAAGGTCTTCGCCGCCATGATTGCCCTCCCGTGCACCTCGCTAACTATCGCTCGGGATAAGACTTTTCAGATACGTTCACGCACTCAACCGTGGGGGACCGACCTTACTAATGCTACCGATCGTGACCGAGCCTCACTCGAGACTGGTAACAGAATAATTCGGGCTGTACTTCGCATTCTTAGACATCTCAATCGTTTTAAGATTCCTTGGATACTTGAAAATCCGTCAACGTCCCGCCTGTGGTTCATCCCAGAGATACTTGCTCTGTGTAGTCAGGCCCACGCTGAATGGCGACTTACAGATTTCTGTCAATGGGGAACGCCGTGGCGAAAAAGAACATGGCTGGTCTGCGGGAACATGGACCCTGAAGACACCTGTCCCTTAGACAGAGTGTGCACTGGAAAAGCTGGTATGTGCTCTCGCACTCTCCGCCGTCATATCGAGCTGAGTGGGCGCAATGACCAGAATGTGTTGTGGACCTCTATTGCCCAGCCTTACCCCTCTCGCCTGGCCACTGCTCTAGGTAAGTCTCTCGCTGCTAAAAAGCACGCCTCCTGCTCGTACAACTCGGGCGGCCCCGTTCGTACTGGGGCCCGATAAGGCTCTGGCCTTAAGTGCTTTCGTTTTTCCCCTCCTCTCTTCCCCTCCTTCGCCCCTGTGAACCCTTTTCAATTCGGGATGTTTGGAATGCCTTGGACGTGTGATTCTAACGATCTCACGTCGTCCCAGCTGTGTGTTGTAACCCTGTCAGATAGTAGCAGATCTTCTCCGCTGGAAAAACACGGTCTCATTATGTTAGTGCGTGCACGGGAATGATGAGAAAGGTTTTTCGGGTGTCGTGTCCAGGCTTGGCCCCCCGCGTTGCTCATCGCAACCGCTCGGGCTCAAGCGTCAAAAGGCACCCGCCCTTTCGAACAATGTTCTCCCATCCCTTTCTTCAATGCTTTGCAGAATGCCTTGGACGTGTGATTCTAACGATCTCACGTCGTCCCAGCTGTGTGTTGTAACCCTGTCAGATAGTAGCAGATCTTCTCTGCTGGAAAAACACGGTCTCATTATTGATTTTCTATGGGTGTTTGAAAGTTTTTGGCTTCTTGATCCTCCTTGGGAAGCTTTTTGGACTCCTGGAGCCGTCTCGGGGCGGTCTTGGGCCCTGTTGGAGCGTCTTCGGGGCCATCTTGAGGAATCTTGCGCCATCTTGGGCGAACCAGTACCCTCTGGCACCTCGCGGGGCGCCTCTTGGGCCCGTCTTGGGGCGCCTCTGGGCCCCTCCGAGAGCCCTGGGAAGGGTGCAAGAGGGCCCCTAGAGGGCTCCCAGAGGCCCCCAAGGGGGCTCCAAGAGGCCCCGAAGAGGGCCCAGGAGTACATTATAAAACAAACTGTTTTTATAAGCTGGCCTGGTGCCCTCTTGGGCCCGTCTTGGGGCGCCTTTGAGCCCCCCCGAACGCCCTGGGAAGAGTCCAAGAGGGCCCCTACAGGGCTCCCAGAGGCCCCCAAGAGGGCTCCAAGAGGCCCCCGAAAGGGTCCAGGAGTACGTTATAAAACAGGCTGTTTTTATAAGCTGTCCTGGGGCCCTCTTGGGCCCGTCCTGGGGCGCCTTTGGGCCCCTCCGAACGCCCTGGCACGGGTCCAAAAGGGCCCCTACAGGGCTGCAGGAGGCCCCCAAGAAGGCTCCAAGAGGCCCCCAAGAAGGCCCCGCAGTACCTTACAAAACAAGCTGTTTTTTATAAGCTGTCCTGGGGCCCTCTTAGGCCCGTCTTGGGGCGCCTCTGGGCCTCTCGGAAAAATATGGGAAGGGTCCAAGAGGGCCCCTAACGGGCGGGTCGGGTCGGGCCGGGCGGGACATTAAAGTATGATGCCTCATCGAGTTGGCACGCGAGTACCCTAACGGGCGGGTCGGGTCGGACCCTAACGGGCGGGTCGGGTCGGGCGGGACATTAAAATATGGTGCATCACCGAGTTGGCACGCGAGTGCCCTAACGGGCGGGTCGGGTCGGGTCGGGCGGGCGGACCCTAACGGGCGGGTCGGGTCGGGCCGGGCGGGTCATTAAAGTATGGTGCATCATCGAGTTGGCACGCGAGTACCCTGACGGGCGGGTCGGGTCGGGTCGGGCGGGACATTAAAGTATGGTGCATCACCGAGTTGGCACGCGAGTGCCCTAACGGGCGGGCGGGTCGGGTCGGGCGGGCGGACCCTAACGGGCGGGGCGGGTCGGGTCGGGCGGGACATTAAAGTATGATGCATCATCGAGTTGGCACACGAGTACCCTAACAGGCGGGACGGATCGGGTCGGGCGGGCAGACCCTAACGGGCGGGACGGGTCGGTTCGGGCGGGCGGACCCTAACGGGCGGGACGGGTCGGGTCGGGCGGGCGGTCCCTAACGGGCGGGTCGGGTCGGGTCGGGCAGGACATTAAAGTATGATGCGACATCGAGTTGGCACGCGAGTACCCTAACGGGCGGGACGGGTCGGGTCGGGCGGGCGGACCCTAACGGGCGGGTCGGGTCGGTCGGGCGGGCGGACCCTAACGGGAGGGTCGGGTCGGGCCGGGCGGGACATTAAAGTATGGTGCATCGCCGAGTTGGCACGCGAATACCCTAACGGGCGGGTCGGGTCGGGTCGGGCGGGCGGACCCTCACGGGCAGGTCGGGTCGGGTCGGGCGGGACATTAAAGTATGTTGCATCAGCAGAGTTGGCACGCGAGTACCCTAACGGGCGGGACGGGTCGGGCCGGGCGGGCGGGCCCTAACGGGCGGGCCGGGTCCGACCCTAACGGGCGGGTCGGGTCGGGTCGGGTCGGCGGGACATTAAAGTATGATGCATCATCGAGTTGGCACGCGAATACCCTAACGGGCGGGGCGGGGCGGGTCGGGCGGGCGGACCCTAACGGGCGGGTCGGGTCGGGTCCCGGGCGGACCCTGACGAGCGGGTCGGGTCGGGTCGGGCGGGACATTAAAGTATGGTGCACCGAGTTGGCACGCGAGTGCCCTAACGGGGGCGGGACGGGTCGGGTGGGCGGGCGGACCCTAACGGGCGGGGCGGGTCGGTCGGGCGGGACATTAAAGTATGATGCATCATCGAGTTGGCACACGAGTACCCTAACAGGCGGGACGGATCGGGTCGGGCGGGCAGACCCTAACGGGCGGGACGGGTCGGTTTGGGCGGGCGGACCCTAACGGGCGGGACGGGTCGGGTCGGGCGGGCGGTCCCTAACGGGCGGGTCGGGTCGGGTCGGGCAGGACATTAAAGTATGATGCGACATCGAGTTGGCACGCGAGTACCCTAACGGGCGGGGCGGGTCGGGTCGGGCGGGCAGACCCTAACGGGCGGGTCGGGTCGGGTCGGGCGGGCGGACCCTAACGGGAGGGTCGGGTCGGGCCGGGCGGGACATTAAAGTATGGTGCATCGCCGAGTTGGCACGCGAGTACCCTAACGGGCGGGTCGGGTCTGGCAAATCCTGCACCGACGTTGTTGGAGTCCCGCGCACGTGCCCCCCCCGCCAAGGGGTCGGGCTCCCACTGCAAGCTGAATTGTTCGGTTCTTGCGAAAGGAAAGAAGAGCGCGAGCGAGAGAAAGAGGAGGAGGAGGAGGAGGAGGAGGAGGAGGAGGAGGAGGAGGAGGAGGAGGAGGAGGAGGGAGGAGGGGAAAGGTGGAGGAAGGAAGAGCGACAGAGAGGTAGAACAAGAGGGGGCAGAGAAGAGGGCCCAAGCGGCCTAGGGGGCGCAAGGAGCCTAAGAGGCTCAACAAAGCTCTAGCTGAATTAGAAGCCCAAGAGGCCAAGGAACCTAAGGGGGCTAAGGAGCACGAGGGGCCTCAGGAGCCCGAGGGGCCTAAGGAGCCCAAGGGGCCTAAGGAGCCCAATAACAAACGCCAAAGAAGCCCAAGGAGCCTCAGCAGGCCCAGGCCCCCCTTAGGCTCTAGCTGGACTCCCCCTTCCCCTCCGCTCGCAGCCATTTGGGCTCAGGAATGCAGTGGCGTGGTCTTGCGAAATGCAAATGTTTCTGTTGATTGGGGCCCGCAAGCCTGATCGACAAGGGCCTAGTGGTTCATGCGTGCCGCTCAAAGCATTGTTTTCCTCTCCTGTGTGTGCTGGGTTGAACAATCGCGTCGAGGCCATGAACATTGCCGTGGGCCCCACTTGCGATCCCAGAGAATGGGCTCGAAGAGTTGACAGTATGCACATGACCGCTGTTGGCGTAGCCCTAGTTGAGCCTACTGGGATTCCTTGTGCTGCAACTTACCTGGTCTCCTCAGAGCGTGCCGTCATGGATTTCTGGTCGCAGACCAAGTGGAAGAATGAAGCTCTGGTGTTTGTGAAAATCGTGGATGCGGTTTCTCTGTTGCGACCAGTTCGGATTTACAACAGAGGCTGCACTCAAAGTATCAAGTCATTATTCGGAGAAGTTTCCACCAGCACTTTTCGTCGATGCGTGGAAGCTGGTTGCACTGGTCGAGGAGACGGTTCCCTTTTCGAGGCGATCACCCACATCGAGAGAACTAGCCGCATCCAAGCACGGAGGAACGACAGGGGGGAACCGATCATCACGACCGTTGTGATGATGCCGACGCCGCATGCTGTTTTGTGCGCCACGAAGGTTTGGATGTCCTGGGCGTTTCCACTCAGTCAGAATCCTAGAACCAACAGTGGGATGAGGTTGTCGCTAGCGGCGCCATTGTGGCGTCATTTTGGCAGAGACGCTATCCGACGAGGAGCTTTCGCACTTCGTGACGATGAGGACACAGGGTCAAACCATGCCCATGCCCATGCGTGCCCCTCTCCACGTTTTCTTTGACGATACATTTGAAACATGTAATCTCCAGGGGTGGCAAGAGGGGGATGCGCGGGCATAGGTGTGATTTGAACCATGTGAGGAACGTGATTTTACCATGGGCGATCTGCAGGGCGCGGCCGACTCACTGCAGATATTGTCAGCTATGGTTTCTGGCGACAGCCCGATAAAAGATGAGGCACTTTACCACATAGACTGGTTACAGAATATGCGCAACTCACTGCTTCTCCAACAGATG